CCTTTTATCATGCAGTAAAAACATTTAATAAATAGAGACGAAACAGATTTACTATATGCAAAATAGTTTTTAAATGCTCTAGTTTTCTTTCCAACAAGAGGTGTAAAGCCTATACCACCACGATCAATAACCAATTTTTGAGAATCAAGTATCATATCAAGATTAGTTTTTCCTTGTGTAAGTTTAGATGCAGTTTTTATTAAATATGTTAATTTCTCTTGTAACTCAGGACAATTTTTACAATCTTTATCATTACACATGCAATCAGAGTTATTACCTATTTCCAGATTTTCATTCTTGGTTTCTTCATCAACTATTTTCTTTTCAAGAAGAGTGATCTTGTTTTCTAATAAACTATTCATGCTTTTTAATCTTTTGTTTTCAATTTCTAATTTCTTAGCTACTGCATGCATTTCATAAAAAGCATCTTGTAATGAACTATAATTCATAGTAGTTGTTGAATCAAAACTTACACTGGTCATTGGAGAATCCGAATTGACCATCAAGCATATCTCTGTTGTTTCTTCATAGGTCATTTCAAGGGTTTTCCACATTTGTGCAGCAGTTTGACAATGTGCTATCCTGAAAAAATCATTGTTGTTAAGTGCAAATATGATGATATTCTTAGCAATACAATCATCTTGGATTAGTTTCTTTTCACAGTCATTTAAGCTAGACCAATCTTTGTTAAAAACATAAGTTCCTTGTTCAATGATATTCCAAACATTTATACCAACAGATTCAATAAAGATATTCATCCTAATCTTCCAAAAAGAGTAATTTGTACCACAAAACAGTGGAGGTCTATCAATACAAGCACCCTCAGAAAATTTATTTCCAGCCATTTGGATCGAAAGACTTGAATAATTCTCAAGAACCTTGCTCTTGATACCAATTGTTAGAAATGTAGGCTGAGATCAAGAGGGGGGGTGAATTGATCTTTGAAAGATTTTCGCAATTTACAGATTATCTATTTCAAAGATTAAGAATCCTGACCAGTTCTTGAATCACACACAACAAGCAATCAAAATAAATGCAGTCACAGAATTAAAGGAGAGAAAGGTTTAGAAAGATACAACCAAGATTTATACTGGTTCACCCAATCCCAGGATTACGTCCAGTTTCCAGCCAAATTTCAGCTGGGTTCCACTAGATTGAACGTTTACAAATTACAACTTTAATCTCACACTCAATCTACCACAAGAACCAAAATTCCAGTCCCTGCACCTAAACCTTCACCAAGAACCAAATTCCAGTTCTTGACCAACCCTGCAGCCAAATTCCAGCTACAGAAACCAGTGCCCACAATTCCAGGCACCCACAATACAATAAAGAAAGTAAAGAAACAAATAGAAGAAACTAGAACGCTCAAACCAGATTTATGCAGCTCTGTAGTATGAGTTTCTTCTCCAAAAGAATGTAAATTTTGCCTCAAGAAAGAACTTCTATGAACTTCACAAAACTAGCGCGATTCTCTCTTGAAAGTAGCACTTATGATTGCTTGATTGATTGCTAAAAGATGTATTTTAAAAAGTTCAAGCAACTCTGTTTATAGAGAAGATTTTCAAAACTGTTGGTTTATTTAATCTGTTAAAATAATCTTTTAATCTGTTAAAAGTCTTGTTTTAATCTGTTAAAACTTCTTTTAATCTGTTAAAAAGTTCTTGATTATTTTCCAGATTGCTTTTAATCGATACAACACCGTTTATATCAATTAAAACTCTTTGTAAAAAATCTTCCAAACTGTTTTAATCGATTGTTTCGATCTTTCAATCGATTAAAATACTGCAAAACATTCTTATAAATTTTTCTAAGTGATTTTAACTGATAACAATCTGTTTTAATTGATTAAAACGTTTTGAAAAAAATTCACTTAGTTATTTTAATCGATTGAAACGCATTTTAATCGATTATAATTCTGCCAAAAGATTTCATAAAACTTTCTAAGTTATTTTAACTTATTGCAAGCTTGTATTAATCGATTAAAACTTTTTGGAAAAACCTCTTAGTTGTTTTAATCGATTATTTCGCATTTGTATCAATTAAAATATTGACAGAACAACTTTCAAAACACTTCAAGTTATTTCAATCGATTATTTCGAGTTTGTATCGATTAAAATTCTGCCAGAACACTTTTCAAAATATTCCAAGTCATTTTAATCGATTATATCAATTCCATATTAGTTAAAATATTGGCGTAAGGTTTTCAAAAATCCTTCTAATGAAAACAATCGATTATTTCGAAAACATATCGGTTAAAAACCCGTTACAAAAGTGTTAAGAACATTTTAGTTGATAAAGCTTATATACTATTAGTTAAAATAGTTAATTAAAAACCTTTTAACAAAATACTTTGTTTTTTTAACCGTTTAAACATTTTTAAGAGGCATTTGCAAAATCTTTTAAATGAAGAAACCTCATGCAGCAGAGAGATAAAAATTATTATACCTAAGCAGAGATGCAGACTCACTAATCCCACTACCCTTTTATCTAAGTGACCTTTGACTGCCACAAAGTAGCCTTTGACTTCATTTTTTACTTCATCAAATCAACAAGATCTTTGCCAAAGTAATTCAATAAGATCTTCATCACTTTCAAACTGGTATTGATTGATTGTTTAATGTGATTGCGTGTTAGTAAGACTTGAAAATGATAAAGACATTTTTTCTTTGTAGTAGATATAACCCAGAGCCAAATAGCCAACCCTGCATTAATTATAGGACATCCATTTGAATCCCTTTTGAGCCAAATATAATATTGTTTCTTAAACAGAACCCTTAAGCCTAAACATTATTTATCTACCTTCCTATATTTGAGAAAGGAAATGAGTATGAATTTCACTATTTTTCCTATTGTTGGGTATTGCTATTGTTGTCCTACAGGTATTATTGGGGTGTTATTCTTAAAAAAAAAAGTGTAAAGGGAGGGGAAAAACAAAGCTTAAAAATTATGGCAAAGCCAAAAAGGATACATGCAAAAGCATGAAAAAAAGTCAAAAGGGGGGAATAATAACTTGTGAGATTATTTAACTCACTGTCATTGTATTAGGGACAAAAGTATGAAGTTTGAAACCTGACTTGAGGAATTGTTAATCAAGAATCATTCATATGAGTTGAATTTCTCAAATATTTTTGTATATACCATAAAAACCAATAATTCTTTCTTAGCTCAGCCCCATTACCAGCCTCAAAAGACCTTTTGATTTAAGTCTTATTTAACAATTGTTGATTGCTTTAAGATGATTATCAATATTGGATTGTCTAAATGAAGTGATTGAATGAGATAAACACTTACCTGAATTAGAGATGAGTATATATAACTCTATTTTAGAGATCATGCTTCTCTAAGGATAGTTGAGGACTAATTATTCTTTGTTGGTTTCTATAACTTGAATGCTTATGTGTTCTATTTTCATTTGGAGTTGTGAGCATCACCTCTAAAAATTTTTATGTTGTGCTTCTGGAAGAGAAAGATATAATAGGTGATGGTTTGTTTTGGAAAAGTTACTCTTCTTGGGACAAGCAAGATTCTAGGTTGGGGGGAGTTGTTAAGTGGTAAAAAGTTGATATAATTATGCCTTGAATTGTTATGAAACCACTTAACTTATGTTAATTCTAATATATTTTTCTCCCAATATAGGATGAATTAGAGAATACCTTGATACAAGAGTAAGGAGTATAGTTGTGAAGTAATTGAAGAAAAATTGAAAGAAAGAAGAATGCTTAAGCGAATGAATGATGCGAGGCCCGACCCAAATTCTCTTATAAAAAGATAATATGTGTTTTGAGAAAGGAGGCGGTCTTGGAGAAGAGGAGGCACGACTACTATTAAGATTTCGTCTAATATTCATCAATTCTTCACTTCTTCATCAATTATAGCATTGTAATGGCCAACATGAGTGGCTAACTTCATTCTCTTAGGATTCGGTGCACTTCCTTTGAACTCTTTTGTATCATGGTGATATTTTGAAATATTAATCTATACTTTGATGTTGTTATTCTTATCCTTTATGCTTTGGAATGATTTATTCTTGATTGTTTGAGGTATGATTGGAAAATATATCTTGAACCCTAGATCACGGTAAGAATATTTGTTACGTTAATTTCCAGGAATGGAATGAATGTAAATTGCTTAACACCCTAAACCTAATGCTGGGAAATCTCTTAATTGTGTGAGGAATCAACATTTATTATGTTTTCTTATGAATTTCATGTGTGAGGAATCAATATGGATGAATTGAGTAGGTGGCATCAACATTGTTAGGTTAATTGACGTTCTTAATTGACATAGCCATTACAAAAGAGGGATAAGGAAGGAAGTTAATCCTAAGTACCTTTAATTGATATTTTCTCAACAAATTACAGTTCTTTGTCATTTAATTTCAATTCAACTCTTATTACAAAACTCAATATGTTTTAATCCACTTAGTAAGCATAATTGGGACATTGAAACCGTTCCTCGTGGGATCGACTTTTATTTAATCGAAATACTATACTGCGATTGATAATTTTGGTACACTTGCCAATAATTCAACAATAACAGCATACTCAGCTAGTCTAGAATACGAAAGTCATATTAAGTCAGCCATCTTTTTGTCTGAAAGTTTTGAAGTTGGACCAGGAAAAGTTGCAAAGAAAACACTTTTATATATTACTTTTCCAAGAGGTCATATTGGAATCAAGAGTTTTGATGCTGAAGTGGTTGATGAAAATGGCAATTCTGTACCTTTGTATGAAACTTGCCTCCATCATTGGTTTGCTATAAAATACATTGAAAACATTACCATGTCACACTATATTGAACAAACTCATGACCTTCGTAACGGTATCGAATACGAAAGAAATGATGGTCCATGTCAAACGTTTTTACTTCCACATTATTGGGGGTTGGGAGGAGAATCACGAGGAACACCCTCAAATCTTCCATATCCTTTTGCACTTTAATTAGGTAATCCAAAAGATATAAAACATGGATTTATAGAAAAGTGGTTGTTTAACATCATGGTCATTGATACACGTGGCACACATAATAGAAAAGGTTGCACCGAATGTAGATGTAACCTTTTCAATCTCCCGAAGGACTTTTACAATGTCATAACAGGTGTTAATGGACTACCATTGACCATAGATTATAAAGGAGGATTATTTTGTTGCAAAGATAACTTTCAATGTAAATTAAGAAAGAGTTCCCATGGCCCAACAAGAAAGCTTTTTCTAAGATACAAAATAAGGTGGGTGGATTGGGATGAACACCAAGTGCCACTCAAGTTTTACATACTTGATTCGACTGATTGTGTGAGATCAAACGGGTCTACAACAATTCATGAGTGTCAGGTAAATAATTTATTCAAGATACATAATTTTATAGATGATAAGTAGACTTTCGAATATCAATTAAATTTCAAACCAAAGTAGTGACTTATTAATTACTTTTCCACAAAGTGAGTAACATAATTTTTTTTAATTTGTTATAGGCAGAATATGTCATTCCAAGAATTAGTGATGGTAGCTCCTTTCATGTCCAAAAAGCAAAGATTTCAATCACAAAAGGTGGTTATCTTATATATGGCATTGCTCATGCGCATGCGGGTGCCGTCAATATAACTGTATATGGACAGGTAATATTTTATATTTGTCGGCATTCCTATATATAATATATAGGATTTGTGATAGATAAATTTTTATTAATCTTTCTACGCTTCAGATTTTCTTAAGTAATAAAATTTACGAAGTAATTTTACATTTTGTAAGAAGTTAACTTTTCTAATGTGACTTGTATAAATTTATGTTTTTGATTAACATAGGATGGAAGGGTTTTATGTCCTTCAACATCAAAAAACTGAACGGGAAAAGAACTAGGAAATGAAAGAGGTTATGTAGTTGGAATGTCTGTTTGCTCTCCAAAACCTGGTTCTATCAAGATTAAAGATGGTGAAATTTTAACTTTAGAATCCATATACAAAAACAAATTTCGTACCGGAACTATGGGACATTTCTACGTTTATTTGGCAGAACAACTACCAACGAAGCGTTCAAACATTTGATGTAAAATTATAATTGTATTTTCTTCCCAACATATATATTTTCAAATAAAACAGTAAGTGAATTTTATTTTTATTATTAGTAGGAAACTAATACAATAATTTTGTACATATTATTAAAATCCTAGGAAAAAAAGTATAAAATGTTAATACATGAAAAAGCTAATATAGAACATGAAAATAAAATCTATTAAAAGATTGAAAAAAATGTAATTGCTTTATTGTTTTCTTTATCCCAATCTTATTATCTTTTATTAGTTTTCATAGTCTTGTAATTTTAAATGTTCTCTTATATAATTCATGAAATTATTGGTAAATTTTTTCTAACTTTTTATTATAAAAATTCTCTTAAAAAACTTAAAATTTATAACATTCCAATATAATATTTTAAAGTCTACGCGACTCTTTTTTTTTTTTAAGAAACTATATAAAAAAAATAGCATTCAAGAAAGTGTTTTGCGGTTTTAGTTAATTAAAAATTATAGATATTAACATGGTTTTTAAAATATTTTTTCTCATAGACTTTTAAAATATTTTATTATTAAAGATGAAATAAAATTAAAATATCTCAACTTACAATTAACAACTATACCTATTTTAATACTGTGAGTGCATCTATTATTTATTAGAAAATAGAATTTGATTTTGAAAATAATTTTATACTGTGAGTGCATCTATTATTTATTAGAAAATAGAATTTAATTTTAAAAATAATTCTAATTTAATATACGAAAGGGATAATTTGTTGAAACGAACTTGAAATGAATTAATTAGATATTTGTTAAGGTGAGTTTCAAATGTTGTAGATGTTAAAAATATATGTTGAGATCAAGAGGGAGGGTGAATTATCTAATCAAAGATTTTTGCAACGTTTAATTACATATTACCAATTTTATAAAGTTTTAATGAAATCAATCTAAGAACAACAATCTTGAATAAGAGAATGTAATGAAAGAAGAACAAGAAGAACAAAATTTTTACCGGTTCACCCACTAATCAAAATTCAATTGATTACAAATACTAAGAGTAGACTAACAATCTATACCAAGAATTATAATCAAGTTCTTGAGCCTTTAACAACAACGACAATTACAGTTGCTTAAACTAGTGTCCACAATTCTGGACACCGAAATTACAACGAATAGAATGAAAGATTAAGATGCTTGGAGAAACAATATTAATCAAGTGAATATGCAAAAGCAACAATCCAATCACAGAATGAGTTTCTTCAAGAGTATTAGCAAAGAGCCTCAAGAATGATATAAAAAAGAATTGTAAAGTATAAAGTGTGTTTCTCTCCTGGAACAGAGCTTATAAAAGATTTCTTGAATGATTTCTCAAAAAGTATGTTTTGAAGTGCAGGTGGTATTAATCTGTTTATATAGAGAAATTTTGAAGTGACTCATAGAATTAATCGGTTAATCCGTGACTTAATTGATTAAAATAAATAAGTTTAAATGAATTTAACTGATGACAAAGCATTTTAATAAATTAAAATGGTTCTGTCAATTTTTTCGACACATTTTAACTGATAAAAACGTATTTTAATCGTTTAAAAGAATCCTGGATATTTTTCAGAGATGTTTTAACTGATAACATGGATGTATCAATTAATTTTGCAAACCACAACTTTCAAAACTAAGTCAAGAACAAGATTAAAAACTTTCTTAATCAATTAAATCTGCGACTCAAATATTTCTTTATTTATTTTAAGTAAATTCAATCGATTAATTCAAAAATGTATCAATTAAAAACCTTGTTGGAGAACATATTAACCTAGTAAAACAATTTTTAACAAATTAAAATTCTTGAGGCACTTATACGTGAAAAAAAGGAAGAAACTCATGCTTGAGGAAAGGATAGATGTTTATACCTATATAGTACCGACACACTAATGAACTACAGCAACACAACATCTTCTTTTGACTTCATCAAATCTTTCGAAGAAGTCTTCCAAGGTCTTTTCAAGATTCTTCCCACAAGTTTCATCAAGTATAGATAATTATATATTGTTTTAAAAGCTTGAAACAATTTTTATTCAATAATATTGATATATACTAAAGTAAAAAAAAAAACCACAATCCCACATAGAATCACATATTTTAATATTTTAATTTAGTATTTTCAGCAATATTTGTTGTATTTTATTTTTAAATTAATATATTTCTATTTTAGCTAAACCAAATAGTATGGGAATGACTTTTTTTACATTAATGATTATTTAAGTTTTGAAAAATACCCTACAATTAAATATTTCATTATACGAGCTTGAATATAGTTTCAAACTAAACGAATACTTTTTAATTTATTTTAAAATTATTAATTAAAAAATATCTAATATATTAGACAAATAGAAACAATCCACTTCTTATGGATGTTTTTAAATGAATTCCTTATTACATTTGAATTTTTCTCTTTTAAAACATTATTTATGTTAAAACAAATCCAAACAATATAAACATATGTTAGTTAACTAAAACAAATAATGATATCAATTTTCCTTAAAAAGGAAAATTGCACTATCATATCATTTTTTTACACGTACAATTAGTTGTATGAAATTCCCTATTACCTTGAATGGCACCACAATTAGGTAAATGTATTAGAATTTAGGTTTAAATTATTCATGAGTAAATTCAAAAATACTTTATTCATCCCACAAATAGAAATAATTCACATGTGTATTGATTTCACATTTAGTTACAACAGATATTCAATCATCCAACCATCCATTATATATAACATCATAAATTAACTTTACATACACACAAATTTAACATTTAAGATTTCAAAGATTTCACACCATCACTTAAGAGCAAATATTCATCATGGTAACAATTTTATCTTTTTCTTACGTACTTTGCAACTTTTATTGTCAATGTTATGATATTTTTCTTTCTTCTTTATTCCACTCTTATTTAATTTACATATTTTTCTCCATTCGTCTACAATATATTCCAAAATGGATAAGTTTTACAAACATATTTTAAGCTAATGAATGGTTTATGTGCAGGTTAACACGAAGATTATCAGTAATATAACCATGATTTCATTAACAATATTAGTATTTCTCTCGATAACAACATACTCAGCTAGTCTAGAATACGAAAGTCATATTAAGTCAGCCATCTTTTTGTCTGAAAGTTTTGAAGTTGGACCAGGAAAAGTTGCAACGAAAACACTTTTAGATATTGCTTTTTCGAGAGGTCATATTGGAATCAAGAGTTTTGATGCTGAAGTGGTTGATGGAAATGGTAACTCTGTACCTTTGTATGAAACTTACCTCCATCACTGGTTTGCTATAAAATACATTGAAAACGTTACCATGTCACACTATATTGAACAAACTCATGACCTTCTTAACGGTATCGAATACGAAAGAAATGATGGTCCATGTCAAACGTTTTTACTTCCACATTATTGGGGGTTGGGAGGAGAATCACGAGGAACACCCTCAAATCTTCCATATCCTTTTGCACTTGAATTAGGTAATCCAAAAGATATAAAACATGGATTTAAAGAAAAGTGGTTGTTTAACATCATGGTTATTGTTGAATTATTGACAAGCGTACCAAAATTATCAATCGCAGTATAGTATTTCGATTAAATAAAAGTCGATCTCACGAGGAACAGTTTCAATGAAAATTCCCAATTATGCTTATTAAGTATATTAAACAGATTGGGTTTTGCCAATAAGAGTTGAATTGAAATTAAATGACAAAGAACTGTAAATTGTTGAGAAAATATCAATTAAAGGTACTTAGGATTGGCTTTTTTCCTTATCCCTCTTTTGTAATGGCTATATCAATTAAGAATGTCAATTAACCTAACAATGTTGATGCTACCTACTCAAATCATCCATGTTGATTCCTCACACATGAAATTCATAAGAAAACCTAATAAATGTTGATTCCTCACACAATTAACAGATTTTCCAGCATTACGGTTAGGGTGTTAAGCAATTGAAACATTCATTCCATTCCTGGAAATTAACGTAACAAATATTCTTACCGTGATCTAGGGTCCAAGATATATTTTCCAATCATACCTCAAACAATCAAGAATAAATCATTCCAAAGCATAAAGGATAATAATAACAACACCAAAGCATAGATTAATATCTCAAAATATCACCATGATACAAAAGAGTTCAAAGGAAGTGCACCGAATCCTAAGAGAATGAAGTTAGTCACTCATTTTGGCCATTACAATGCTCTAATTGATGAAGATTAGACAAAACCCTAACAGTAGTCGTGCCTCCTCTTCTCCAAGACTGCTTCCTTTTCTCAAAACACAACTTATCTTTTTATAAGAGAATTTGGGCCGAGCCTCGCATCACTCATTCACTTATGCGTTCTTCTTTCTTTCAATTTTACTCCAATTATGCTGACAATTGTACTCTTTACTCTTGTATCAAGGTATTCTCGAATTCATCCTATATTGGGAGAAAAATATATTAGAATTAAAATAAGTTAAGTGGTTTCATAACAATTCAAGGCATAATTATATCAACTTTTTACCACTTAACAACTCCCCCCAACCTAGAATCTTGCTTGTCCCAAGCAAAGTAGTTTTTCCAAAACAAAACCATCGCCTATTATCACATTCTCTTCCAGAACCACAACATAAAAAATTTCAGAGGTGATGCTCACAACTCCAAATGAAAATAGAACACATAAGCATTCAAGTTATAGAAACCAACAAAGAATAATTAGTCCTCAACTATCCTTAGAGAAGCATGATCTCTCAAATAGAGTTATATATACTCATCTCTAATTCTCACAGGTAAGTGTTTATCTCATTCAATCACTTCATTTAGATAATCCAATTGATAATCATCTTCAAGCAATCAACAATTGTTAAAAAGACTTAAATCAAAAGATCTTTTGAGGCTTGTAATGGAGCTGGGCTAAGAAAGAATTATTGGTTTTTCTGGGATATACAAAAATATTTGAGAAATTCAACTCATATGAATGATTCTTGATTAACAATTCCTCAAGTTAGGTTTCAAACTTCATGCTTATGTTCCTAACATAATGACAGTGAGTTAATAATCTCACAAGTTATTATTCCCCCCTTGAACTACTTTTATACTCTCTTGTTTTTTTCTTATGCTTTTGCATGTATCCTTTTTGGCTTAGCCAATTTTTAAGCTTTGCTTTTTTCTTTACACTTTTTTTTAACAATACACCCCAATAATACCCATAGGACAATAATAGCAATACCCAACAATAAGAAAAATAGTGACATTCATACTCATTTCCTTTCTCAAATATAGGAAGGTAGATAAATAGTATTTAGGCTTAAGGGTTCTGTTTAAGAAACAATATTATTTTTGGCTCAGAAGGAGTTCAAATGGATGTCCTATAATTAATGCAGGGTTGGCTATTTAGCTCTGGGTTATATCTACTACAAAGAAAAAAAATGTCTGTTAAGTGGTAAAAAGTTGATATAATTATGCCTTGAATTGTTATGAAACCACTTAACTTATGTTAATTCTAATATATTTTTCTCCCAATATAGGATGAATTGAAGAATACCTTGATACAAGAGTAAGGAGCATAATTGTCAGCATAATTGGAGTAAAATTGAAAGAAAGAAGAACGCTTAAGCGAATGAATGATGCGAGGCCCGACCCAAATTCTCTTATAAAAAGATAAGTTGTGTTTTGAGAAAAGCAAGTAGTCTTGGAGAGGAGGAGACACAACTACTGTTAGGATTTTGTTCAATCTTCATCAATTCTTCACTTCTTCATCAATTGGAGCATTGTAATGGCCAACATGAGTAGCTAACTTCATTCTCTTAGGATTCGGTGCACTTCCTTTGAACTCTTTTGTATCATGGTGATATTTTGAGATATTAATCTATGCTTTGATGTTGTTATTCTTATCCTTTATGCTTTGGAATGATTTATTCTTGATTGTTTGAGGTATGATTGGAAAATATATCTTGAACCCTAGATCACGGTAAGAATATTTGTTACGTTAATTGCCAGGAATGGAATGAATGTATCAATTGCTTAAACACCCTAAACCTAATGCTGGAAAATCTCTTAATTGTGTGAGGAATCAACAATTATTAGGTTTTCTTATGAATTTCATGTGTGAGGAATCAACATGGATAATTTGAGTAGGTGGCAGCAACATTGTGAGGTTAATTGACGTTCTTAATTGATTTAGCCATTACAAAAGGGGGATAAGGAAAAAAGTCAATCCTAAATACCTTTAATTGATATTTTCTCAACAATTTACAATTCTTTGTCATTTAATTTCAATTCAACTCTTATTAAAAAAACCAATCTGTTTTAATCTACTTAGTAAGCATAATTGAGAATTTTCATTGAAATTGTTCCTCATGGGATCGACTTTTATTTTATCGAAATACGATACTATGATTGATAATTTGGTACGCTTGCCAATAATTCAACAAGTATTTTTGGCGTCGTTGCCGGGGAACAGTGTTCTTTGAGAATTCTTTGTTTAGCTTATTGAGTATTTTATTTTTATTTCTGTTTTTGTTTTATAATAATAATAATAATTATTATTATTATTATTATCATTTAGTTTTTAGTTTGTGCTAATATTTTCTTGAGTTACTCTTTTGATTTATGCGTTTAAGAGGACAGGTATCTTCAGAGCGGTTAGAATTTAATCCAGAAATTGAAAAAAACAGCTCGGAGGAACCAAGGTAGAAGAAGAAGGGAAACTCAAGAACAAGCCACAAGAGAATCTGCTAACTCTTCTTCCACATTTGATTTACCAGACCCAATTATAGAAGATATGATGGAAGAAGGAGCAAATCTGAATCCAAATGCAAATCCACCTAGAAGAACTCTTAGAAATTGTGCTATGCAGCAAGGTCCAAGACATTTTTCCAGCATTGTCATTCCGAATGATCATACATTGCAGATGAATCCAGATTTCTTAAGCTTGATTAATGCTCATCAATTCACTGGATTGGATCATGAAGACCCTTATATTCATTTGTCTACTTTTTATGAGTTGATTGGTACCATGGGATTTAGAGCAGCAAATCGTGAATCTGCATATTTGATATTATTTCCTTTTTCTTTGGAAGGTAGGGCAAAGGAGTGGTTGAAAGCACATCCTAATCAGAGTCTGACTAATTGGAGTAGTGTAGAAGAGAAGTTTCTGAATAGATTTTTCCCACCATCCTGCTACATCAAAGCAAAATCTGACATCACTTATTTCAGACAAGGAGCAGATGAACAATTTTGTGAAGCATGGGAGAAATTTAAATCACTTTGAGAAGTTGCCCAAATCATGGATTTGATGATGTTTCTCAGTTGAATATTTTCTATACTGGGTTGCGACATGATGCAAAGATGTTATTAGAGGCTGTAGCAGGAGGATCCATGTTGGATGTAGAAATTGAGCATGCCACAAGAATTATTGATCCACTAGCTTTTACAGACCAACAGGATCAATATGATAGACATCCAATTCAAAGGAAGGGATTCCTTGAACTTAACACCACAGATGCTCTCTTAGCCCAAAATAAAATTTTGACCCAACAAATTGAAGCATTAACCCAAAAAATAGAGAAATTACCTCAACAAATGCACACAGTACAAACTATTCCTAATCAACAGATGAGTTGTGATTTGTGTGGAGGTGATCATTCAAATGAACAATGCTCTTATCAAGGCAACATTCAGCAAGAAGAAGCTAATTATATGGGTGCCCAAGGTAGTAGTCAAGGCAGACAAGGCAATTTTCCTAATCCTAATATTTATCAGAATAATTTTGCACAAGGATGGAGAGGGAATCAAAATCAGAATCAGAATTTTGGGTGGAACCAAGGTGTTAGCTCATCTACTAGACAACCTGCATTTCAACAACAGTCATATCAGCAATCTCCATATCAATAGCAGCAACAACATTATCCTTCAGTGCCTGACAGAATAAGTAAATTGGAGGATACTTTAGAAAAATTCATGCAAGGCACTATGGCTAATCAGAAAAATACTGAGGCTTCATTCAGAAATATAGAGATCCAGATAGGCCAACTAGCTAAGCAATTATCTGAGCAGCAACAAGGAGGACAATTTTTAGCTAACACACAAACCAACCCCAGGGAGCAATGCAATTCAATAACTATAAGGAGTGGTAAGGTTATAGGAGAAGGTATTGGTGACAATCTAGATGGAGAGAGGGAAATCCTAAAAGAAAAAGAAGATCAGTGTGAAAGAGAAAAAGAGAAAAATAAAAGTGAGAGTATAGGAAAAGAAAAAAATACTGAAAAAGAAGAAAAAAATAAAAAGAGTGAGAAAAGAGGGAGAAAGATGAGAGTCAAATACCGCAATTAAAGGATTTACCATATCCTCGTCATCCTTCCAAGAAAGATAAAGAAAGACAGTTTGCAATATTCATGGATATTTTCAAGCATTTACTGATTAATATCCCCCTTATGGAAGCTATGAAGCAGATGCCGACTTATGCAAAATTCATGAAAGAGTTTTTAACTAAGAAAAGGAGATTTACTACAGAAACAGTGGAGCTAGAAGCAGGATGTTGTGCTATA